ATACCTTATGGTCTCTTGTTTTAAAATAAAGACTGGCATAAGATTAGACATCTTTGTTTGGGAGGAACTGTTGTGATAGTCAAATTTCTATGTGCTTATTGCTCTATCTACTTTTATTTTTGAATGTCTTTACATGGAGTCTATGTGAATTTTTCAGTTACAATGGAAGTCAGGACAGCCGAGCCGCAGTGCCGCTTAAACGCCATCGCACCAAGATGGCTCTAATGCGAAGAAAGACAGGTAATGGCATCAAGAAAGGATCGGTAACACAAGTAAACGTAGCCGCGAAAGATGCTCCGGTAAGTGTTAGCGCTTATCACTAGCGTCATGGCTGTCAGTGCCCCTATTTGAAGAACTATCGATTAGATGACCATTGCTCGTACTTTCAGGCTGTACTGGATAAAAATCGTCATGTAGTTTCGTATTCATATGGGAAAAACCAAACAGTGCTCGTTGAGTATGTAGCCGATCCTTTTAAGGACATGTTTCAGGTTTGCTGTGTTGTTAAATAAACTGTTAAGCGATAATGCAACTTGTAAATAAAAACGTATACGAATTCTACTTTTTCTAAAGATTGGCCGTTCTTCTGAAGAGCAAATTGATTTTACGATTGTCGACACATGGTTAGCGTCAGGCTCGCAACTAGCTTCCTCTTCAGGTCCGTAGTATTTGATCAAGACTTACGCTCTTTATAACTTAAACACAACCAAGTTTCTGCAGTTCTGATAAAGTTTATTTAGCAAAGATGTTAGAAAGTAGTTGTGTTTTCATTAAAATGTACCTCCACGAGCTTATTCGCTATAGATTATGATGAGTATCTTAACAAATTCAATTTTCTCTGTTTTGAAAACTGTATTATATCATATACCTTTTATAATAGTCTTTAAGAATATGTTATGCCTGAACGGAAATGAGGTTTCTTTCTTTTTTTAATTTAAAATTATTTTCTGATATCTACTGAGCAAAGTTAACAATACAACTTTCAGTTTATTATTTTCCTAGATCTACATATCTAATTCTGTTTAGGTGGCCAGTCAAAACCCAGAGGTTGCGGCGACCCACATAAGATGATTTCATCAACGATCAGTCGATATGCGTGTCGAATTATCATTGATCGTGAAAACTATGATAAAGCGTTTTTGTATGCTGCTGGATTTGATTCTGTTAAGAATATTTTCCTTGGGGTAAGCGTACATATAAGTTTCAGCTCCCTTCATTAACCTTTTTATGAAGGAAAAAGCAACGAAATGGATGAAGCGAAATGGGGAAATGGACGGGTTAACTACAAACGGGATATTAATTTTGCATCCGAACAGAAATACTGAGGTAAGCTGTCAGCATGGTTCAGTGTAGTTCAATATATTTTATACCGAGTTCCTATTTATTTTGTAGCGTAAAGCAAACCTTTTACCAAGTTTTTTTGCAATGTCTTTCATTACTAATCTTTCAGAAGCTTTTAGAGATTCTTCTCTAATACTTTAATGTTTTTAAACCCATTAGTGAAAATCGCGTAGACGAATCACCTCAATCTAGTATGGGGAAAAATTAGTTTGTTCTGTTCTAGGAGTTGTCCGAAGACGATGTGCCTCCTATGTATGTGTGGCGTGAGGTTTCCGTTGATGGAGATATTTATACATTACGTGAAACGCGAAGTAGTAGTGCAAGGGGTGCGCTAGTACCGGAAGAGACAAATATGCTACAGGTAAACTCGATCTCACATGCTTAGATTAACAAAAGGAACATCCCAGTACCATGGTATTGCTTCGTAAGCAAACTTGTTTCAAGGATGGTACGTTGATTGATTTGTGCGGAGCGACACTGCTTTGGAGGACTGCAGATGGGTTGCGAAAGTCGCCAACTGCTCAGGAATTAGAAATGGCATTGGACAGACTGAATGCTGGAAAGCCGCAATGTCCAGTAAACCTTAACACTCTGATAATTCCGAAAAAGAAAAGCTCAAAGGGTGGAGGAAGCCGTCAACCATATGTGAGTGAATTGTTTCCATCATCTCCACCGGGTAGCGAAGGAAATCGTTTTTATAGGTTTACCTTCGATGCGGACATGTGCAGGGCAAACACGAGTGGGGCCATCATGCACTGTCAAACGGTCAACAATCGTATAAGTGCCCAATATGTTTGGCTGAAAGCGAAA